TTCTTAATAAGGAATGGCCAGTTTCATCTCACTAGCTTCTTCTACATGATTAAGAAAGAGATGATACAAGTAGGTAGAACAATCCAGACAGGAAACAAGTGATCAGTTGATGTAATCAGGGGTGATGTGATCAGGGGTGATTACTCAAGTCTTAAGCCTGCCCTTGAACCTCAAGGCTAAGCCTTTCACTGCAGGAATTATACCAACCAGCCTTCCTTTGTTTTGGCTATTTCACATCTTCTATTCCCCATCTTTTATCCTTTTACTCAGACTAATTAAAATAACATCTTAAAGTATGATTATTTTCATAGAAAATTATGACAACAGACAAGAATATTAAAGTCCTGTCTCTTGCAGGCATGTATCCAACACTAGAGTCCAAACTAAACCTTCCCCAGAACTTAGCCGTCCAGTCTCTGCTTAAAGATATCCAGTTGATTTAAGTTCTATGAAAGCAGATTCATCTGGCTTCCTGCAAGCTAATTTAATTACTCTGTCTCCTGACCTCTGGGATGGCAGAAAGCAGTTCTTCACCTTCTTTGGCCTGATGTATTTTCTACAATGCTATCAATGAGGAAGACTCTTATGGAAATACTTTTGTACCTCTCTTGCATGCACCCTAATGATTGGAAATAGCCATTTATGCCATTCGTCCACTGCAAAAATTAAGATTAAGGTATCCCAATAAAGAGTTGTTTTGCCTTTTGAACATCCAAAAGGTAATATATTTATTTTTTAAAAAACCAAAATGGCATAAAAGAATAGTCTGCTTTTGAGGCTCATTTCAAAATGGCATTTGTAAGTTTCATCAACTATTATTAGACCAAGAAAATGACTTCTTTCTTAAAGTATGGGTATCAGCCCCTTCTTTGTTCTTGAACACTAGATAAATGCTAAAGACATAAATATGGGCTCATCAGGAAACCAGCAACAACCTGTGAGCACCCAGAATGTCCCAAAGCTTCCTATTCACAAAACCACCGCTATATATTTTTGAGTTCACGGTCAAGCAGATAGCTGAATCAGCACTTAAGAACTGTACACCATGGAGTTTCATTAGGGCTTAAAACATCCTAATTGAGCCGCCTTAGCATAAAGTGTTGAAAGTGGCAGTAACCTTGGACCAATTTTTTTTTTAAAAAAAATCATGCTAGAAGGACTAGCCAAGATAACTTGGATGAAAAAGAATAGATTGCTGATGTCTGAAATAATTCTGAGCTTGAACTTGACAGTTAATTCAGAGTAGTGTACAGTCAGAAGGGGTTTCTGAAAATGAGTTTAAAGAATATGACAGATTAGGCTCAGAAGGAACTGCTGACACACTATCAGATCCAGAACCAGAGTTAGTATTAAGAGCTCAAAGATCTAATAAAGGAATCCCACCTGCCTTTAACCCCGTTTTCCCAGTTAAGTTTTTAATGTTTGCTGATATTTCAAAAATAAACGCCAAGCTGTATTATTTTTTTTTGCTAGGTGAACTGAATGGCATGCATAATTGCTCTGATCTGAATACAGGGATTGACTGGGAGTGTACTGGATGCAAACTAAACTGGGTGATTTTGTGTGTGTGTATGTCTGCCTTCAAGTTAGTGTTGACTCCTGGTGACTGCCTGGACAAGTCTCTGCAGTTTTTCAAGTTTTTCTAAACTGGCTTGCCATTGTCTGCTTCCTAGGGCTGAGAGGGAATGACTGGTCCAAGGTCACCCAGCCAGTTTCAGCCTAAGCCAGGACTGGAACTCAAGTCTTTATTTCTAGCTTGCTGCCTTAACTACTATACCAAACCTGATCTCTCAAACTGGGCACTATACGCAGGAATTTATCTATCCTTGTAAACTGGACTGTAACAGAACCCAGTCATATGAAATATGCATGCTCCTATTATCTCCCAAGGCAGTGGTTCTCAACCTGTGGGTCGGGACCCCATTTGGGGTCGATCGACCATTTCATGGGGGTCGCCAAGCAAGGCTGTCCGCCATTTTTTTTGTCCGCCATTTTTCCCCCCCTTTCCGGCAGATGCCTTACCACCCTTGGGCTGGGCCAGCTGGTGGTCAGCCTGCTCCGTCTCTGCCGCTTGCCAGCTACGCCTCGGCCGGCGCAGGGGGCGGAACCATGCATGCGTGGCGCTCCCGGGCAGGGAAAATCCTTGACTTACGACCGGTTGGGTAGTCCTCGACTTACGACCGGTTTAGTCCTCGACTTACGACCGGTTTAGTCCTCGACTTACAACCGTTGGGGTCGCGGCATTAAAAAGGTTGAGAACCACTGTCCTAAGGCCTTCCTGGAACTGCATATTCTCGCCCTTGGTTTCAAGAGGGGATTATGAAAAATATTTACTGCCTGAAATTTTGTGCTGCTATAGTCCCGGCATTATTGCTCCATCCAAACAAGCAGACTGGACAGTTCGCGGACAGCCACCATTTTCACGATCTCCCTCTTGGGACAAGATGAAAGGAGTGAGGGTCTGCGGGAATATATTTTGCCGGGGAAAGACCGGGTCCATCCAGGTGAACGGAAAAAGATAGCTCCAGTGCTTTCCAGTTTTTTGGGTAACTCACGTCGGTCGTTCCCAACAAGAGAGGGCACGTACCAATCCCAGACTCCCTCCTCTCCCTGCACGTCCAGCACTGCCCGGGAGTTTTTCGTGCGCTTCGTTGGATCTCGCGTGTTCCCAGCCCGTGTCCCAGAGGGATGGCGGGGGAGGAGGCGGCACGAGAAGGAGGCGGGATCGAGGAAGGCGGGGGGGAGGGGAAAGTGCCGCTCGCTCCCATTGGTACGTGTGCACGCTCCCGAGCGGCTTGTCCTCTGGTATCCGGTAGTGTGCGGCGAACATGGCATTTCCCACACGGGGCTCGCTCGGGCAGGGCCACACGCAACAGGAGCGGCATGCCGTCGCCCCGGTAAGGCGATGCCGGCCGCCCGGCGGATCTGACTCGCCTGCAAATGGCCTCGGGCAGGGAAGCAACCGTGCAGCCTCCGACCGAGCTCAGTGGCGACTCAGTAGAAAGCATGAGGAAGATTTTCATCGGTCATCCCGAGAGCAGCGAGGATGGTGACCGAGCCGGGCGAAAGGAGCAGCCGGACGGGCCGGCGAGGGGCTCCCTGGGAGCTCTCCTCTCCCCCGGCAACTCAGGCGAAGTGCGAGTGGTCGAGGGCGCGTTGCCCTCCGGCCCTTCGCCTCCTAAGCGGGCGCCCGTCCGAGAGCATCGCCGAGATGCTCAGAGGCTAGTCTTACACTATATAGTGCCTTGCATGAACGCCTATGGCTTGTGCGTTGTAGACCACTTCCTGGGATCCCGGATAGCGGAGAAAATCTTCCAAGAAGTCCTGGCTTTGCACCTGAGTGACAAATTCCAGGACGGAGCCCTGGCGAGTCAGAAACTGGGCAGCAACAAAGCCATCCGCGGGGACAAGATCTTATGGGTAGAGGGCAGTGAACCAGGATGTGAGAACATAGGCTACCTCCTGAAAAAAATGGATAAGCTCATCATGTACGCAGATGGGAAGCTGGGGCATTACAAAATTAGAGGAAGACACAAGGTTAGTAGTTTCAGTATCGAGGACTTTGTTCTTCACTTACTACCAGCAACTTTCCCAAAGTTTCTAATCTCGCTGTCACTCGGAGTCTGAACTCTTAGCTGTGCCCTTCTGGTCACTCTTGTATGCTTGTTTGTCTTGGAGTTATTTTTCTTCTAAATACCCTAATTCGATCGCTTAGTAAAAATTACAACTTTAAGGGTCGAATTCACACAACATAATACTAGTTACACGTGATTGATTTCCGAACCGGACAAGAAGGGGTATTATCGCAACATTAAGGGCAATTCTGTCTTCCTTTCTCTCTTTCTTTCCTCTCACTTTTTCGGAAACATACAAATACACTTCATCAGAAGCACATCCGGAAGATTTTTAATCAAAAGTTTCATCATGTTGATTTTTATATTGTTACGCAGCAAGAATCGGGTGTGTTTTGCTTTTTTTTTTTTTTAAAGATGGCATATATGAGATGCAGAATCCTTTCGATTAAAATCGTAGGAGCTTTTTGAATGCAGCATCCGCAGTGAGGGCACTCCAACGTTAAAATACGACTAACGTTGCTTATAAAACAATTGTTGTGCGTCTAAAAGGCTTTGTCTGCAGAAAGGCAGGTGTGCAAAAAAAGGGGAAGCCGCCTTCCGGGGGAAAAATGCTGAGCACTTGTAAACTCAACCCCTCTCGGGGTATATTCAGTTGCCAAAAGAAACTCCACTGTCACTTGCGCGCTTACACCCTTTTCCCTCCCGTTTGTTTACATTGGCCTGTAGTATGTGGCCGTATTAGAAGCGTACATGCTGGGGTAGAATTCCTCAATGGCGGAGACCACGCCCCCTCGAAGTGTGGTCTTCAGGCCCGGCAAGCCTCAAGTCACGCCTCCTGCAGCCACGCGGCTCTTCGACTCCCCTTCCCCCCCACGCGGCAATTCCAGCCGTGAATTGGGGGGCGGGGGAAGGGGCTGGAAAACGCCGTTCGAAGCCACGCCTCGTCTCTTCGTTGATTGGCTGCGTCCACGCTTCCCTTTGGTTGATGTGTGGGCGCGCGGAGAGATTGTTTCTGGGCCGGGGCTCCACCCACGTGCCGCTGGCTGTAGAAGTTGGGAACACATCCTGCACGTAGCAGACGTATTAATCAGAGAGGGGCCCATCTGCTGCCTTGGTAAATAAATGGGAAAGGAGTTTGCCGGACGTGGCTCCCCAAAAGGGGGGAGTGATCGTCTCAGCCAAAGGGGGTGTTCACTTCTCACACTGATCTCCTGGCCTCAGAACAGATAGCAAAGATCTTCAGCCAAGGTGTTACTCTTACCGTAGGTGGAAGGCAGCCCCGGGGGTGCGGGGGGGGGAGTGGTGCAGTTGCTCTTCGTTGTATTCTGAAGCTTTGGGTCGCCAGGAGTGGCGAGGAACTTGAGATGGTGACCGCCGGCTGCACGGAAGACCGAGTGTTACTTACTACTTGAGCAAAACTTTTGAGCGCTCTGCTTCATTGCTTCCCTGACACAGAGCAACTCTGCCTGGTTGCGGTTCTCCGTCGCAATCTGAGAAGTTAGACCTGCTGAAGCGAGCGGCCGATTCGTTTTGTTAGAATAACCGATACTCAAGCAGCCCACGCTCTGGGACAAATCCAATGCTTGATTGCTCTTTTTTGACATTATTTAAGGGTGAGGGTGAAATGCCATTGGGCGATATTATGAGATTAGACTTAGAGAAAATTGCCCTGGACTACATTGTACCTTGTTTGCGCGATATTGGCTTTTGCTACTTGGACAATTTCTTGGGCGAGATCATAGGGGATTGCGTCTTGGAATGTGTAAAACAGATGCATTATAGTGGGGAGCTGCAGGATGGTCAACTGGCCGGCCAGCGCCATGGCATCTCCAAGAGACACTTGCGAGGAGACAAGATAAAGTGGATCGCAGGCACTGAGAAAGGATGCGAGGCCATCAACTTTCTCCTGTCACTGATAGATAGACTGGTGATGTTTTGTGGCAGTAGATTGGGTAAATACTATGTCAAGGAAAGGTCCAAGGTAAGAGCTTCAAAAATAAGACGTTGAATGTTTGACTTAAGGGGTTTATTTCATTCATTTCACTATTGCTCCTGGAATTAATTGGTGAGCTTGAAGTGCCACATAGAGAGCAATTTCAATCTTTTTCTCTCTCATTTTTTAAAAACCTTGAACCTAAACTTTATCATGTAAATAAGATCCATTGTGATGTCTAAGTCAGTTTAACAACTTAGTATATTTAAGTATTGCATACGCTAATGAATGTACAATTTGTAAAGTTAAATTTAGTAAGATATTAGTGTGAATGACAAATCTGCCTATATGCAGAGTATTTTTTTTTTGTTTCTGGTTTCTAAAAGTAGTTCTTGAACAACAGTTGTAATACCAGCCTTGTAATAAATCTTTAAAACTTTGCTGGTGCTGCTGTAGATAGCAACCTTATTTTGTTAAAAGTTTGCAAAAGTCTGATTCAACTAAACTTGACTTTGATTGTTGTGCTCAAATAATCAAGTGCTTATCAAACTACTTTAGCTTGTCTTGAGGGATTAACTTTATTACCTTTCTAATTAATGCATTTTTATTCCAACAGAGTCCACTGCACAACTGAATCTGTAAAATCCATATTAATAAATTTAATAAATTAATAGATGCTGCAGAATGTTTGTGTACAAGAGTTAATTCCTTCTGATGTTTGAAGTTAGCATTGGTGTAATTCATATGCCACTTCAAATTTTTATTAACCTGAAACAAGTGTTTACTCAGAATAAGTACCGCTTAGTAAATGTGTTTAGGATTACTGATACAGAACGTTCAGAGGTGCTTTGAAAGGTTAATAATTTATTAAATTTATTACAATGATTACACTGGTGTAACAGAAAGGCCTGCCATAATAGCCATACTAATATTTTCCCTTTGTATCAAACTTTATTCCTAAATTTTTTTCAAAGCAATTTGATTTTTTTGTCATTGAAATAGAAGAGTGAATTGTGTCACTTAAATGTTTGAACAAAACCAAAATCATAATCAAAAGCCTGTCTCTTTCTGCTAGTGACTGAATGAACTAGAATTTCTAAAGCTCTTCTTTTGTTAGTGATTTAGTCTACATAATATAACATTAAACTGTTTTTAAAGCTTCATTGTTTTGGGTCACAGGTGGAACTCTTGATCAGAATTTCATCTAGACATTTTTCTTTTTTCATTTTTTCTTGACAATTAACGTTCCAAAGTGACAGGTGTAAGCACACTTATTATGAAGTAGATCCCATTGAATTCAGTATGAAAGGTGCTTAGAACTATTGTGGACAATATGTCTTGGTTACCCAACCTATAATTTACAGTGTCAAGGTTTCCTAATCAACCAACCAACCAACCAACCCCAAAGTCAACCTGCATATACTTGATTCCTACAGAGAACTTTGAGAAAACTACTTGCCTTGAAAAAAATGGTTGATTGAATGTCTGGAAAGCCAAGTTCTTGTCATTCGGTTTTCAGTTTAATTGATTTGGTTATTTACAACAATTCATCCATCTGTCATAGCACATGTTGTTGGTGAGATGTTACAGTAAATCTCCATTATTCTAAAAGGTGCTGTGTCATGCACACACATATCCTCCTCAGATCACAGTGTTTACATTGGTGAAACATGGATAAATATAATTCCAAATCCATTCTAAACATCTGGCTGGCTGTACGACAAACCAGTAATAATAATATATTAAACTTGTAAGCTGACAAAATGCAAATAATTAAAAATGTAAAAAGCTTATCCACTTGCCATAATATAATACCTAATACAGATAAGACCCTCAACTTCATGTTCTTCTAATCACTTTCAAAATTAAATATAGCTGTCATAGTATATAGCTGATCTTTACCTTGTAGGAGCTAAACATTAATGCTCTATGATAGTAAATTCAAACTTCATCTATCCAATTGATCTAATTATAGCTTAAGGACAGTGCAGAGCCTGTCATGCTGGCTAGCCCTAAAAATGGAAGCGAATGCCATCCATGATGTAAATAATGCACATTACCACAGGGTGTTCCTGATTTCCTTAGCATGCTGAAGAAATGGCATAGCCATATCCTCTGGTCACAGTGGTGCAGTTTCTATCATCTGGTGCCTTCTTGTTGTGTTGGGATGACCACTAGAAATCTCAGGCAGGATGGAAAAATATTAAATAGAATCTTCACTATAAAATGTAAGGGGTATTACTTTAATCCAATAATTTTTTAATGAACATTTGAAAGACATATCTAAGTTTTGCTTAACGCTATTCCCAGGGGTTGAAATTTTAAGAAGAATCAAATGTACATTGCAACCAAAGGTTGTTTTATATTTGTTAGAAATTTATTACATTTGCACTAGAAGTATTTAATTAGAAAATTTTTGCAAATTTAATATTATTTTAAATGGGCTATGATCTTGGGAACAAGTGTCTTTGTACTTGGTAAGATTTAGTTCTGACTAGGTACGCCTGACATTGCATAGTTATAAACCATCCTGGAGTGCTTATGTAAAATCAGTACTAGCAAGTAGTAATTATGGTAATGCTTCCCATTTCAAAAAAATCAAGCCTAAGCAGGTATATCTGTTACTAAAAGTATAGTTGGAAGCATAAGCCTCACATTGTTCTTAGTCTTAAACAGACTAAGATAACATATTACAGGCACAGAAGTCAACATTTCCTATTAAAGTAACTAATAAAAACAAAATGATTGTGTCCTATCGGTTAATCTTAAATTTATAGTTCATTTTTACATACTGCTATATACTAGCTTAAAAAATACTGGGCAGGTATATTTATTTCTTTATTGCATTTATATCCTATCACAGTCAAAAGTCAAATTTGGTGGGTCAAATGCTTTTGATTAGTTTTCCCTTGGCATTAACTGAAATAATGTTGGCATGTTAACAAATCCTAGGAGAAGATTAAGGCCTGCTTCTAAAGAAATCTAATTGTATCTTAGAAAGCTACACAGTGTTTTTAAAAAGATGCTTGGGAGTGCACAATGGTGCAAATGCAGCACCTTTTTTGCTTCTCATCTAAAAGAACTGCCAAATTCTAATAATTCACATAATAGTTAATATTTTATCTTGCATTGATATAATTCCACTGCTGTTGCCAGGTCAGGAAAAGTACAGGTAATCCTCGATTTATGACAACAATGGAGCCCACATTTCTGTTGCTAAGTGAGATAGTTTTTAAGTGAGTTTTGCCCCATTTTACAACCTTTCTTGCCACAGTTGTTAAGTGAATCTGGCTTCCCCATTGACTTTGCTTGTCAGAAAGTTTCAAAAGGTGATTACATGAGTATGAGCTCACTGAATCAAATGAATGTAAGATTGTCATAATTCTCATCTCGGCGTCAGTATATTAATTTGTGGAAACCTTGTTTTGGATCCAACTCATAATGACTGTTTCTCCTCATTGGTGCCTATGCATATCTTAAAAAAAAAATCACTGTTACTGTTAAATCTCATAGATCTGTAAGCTTCAGAAGTGTGAATGTGTTTCTCTTCTGGGCTTAAAATTTAGTGGCAATGTGAATAAGATTTACTATAGCACTGCCGAAGACTTAACACCTTTGAAACTACTGTTGTTTATTATAAAGTCACAAAAGAGTTTCATATTTGGAAAGCAGCATTGCTGTAGTTTACAGTAGATGATCCTGGAGAAATATGCAGTTTGTCTTTCTTTTTCTAACCAAGTACACATGTTATTGCCCGGTGTTCATCACACTGGACAAAAATCACTAGAATTGTAAATAGAACACATTTATTTTATAATGTCAGATGGAGGAATTCAGCTTTGGCAGAGATCCCAGAGCAGTTGCTGTGGCTTTGTATCAAAATTAATGTTTATATTGTACTTGTCAAGCAAGATCAGGTATAGGTTTTTAAGTGGTTTTATTTCTTGCTTCTTGTTTTGCCTTTTTTTTTTTTTTTTTTTTTTTTTTTTTTTTTTTTTTTTTTTACAAAAACAAGGTGTTACAAATTTCCAGTTTGATGGATTTTTGTTTCCATGCTTCTATGATTTCTGTTTTCTTTATGGAAAACATGCTTTTCATATTATCTTCCTAACAGCGTTTTTAAAAAGTGAAATAGAGCATAGGTGATTTATTTAGTTCATTATGTCTGTGTATCATGTATTGTCCATGTATTACCAATGGTTATAATTTAACAATCACAGTCCTGTTATATTTAATAATTAAGACATCAGTTGATCACTGAGAGTTTTCAAAAGAAACAGATTATGAAAGGTTGATAATCAACAAAATATTCTCTCTCATCTTAACTAGTTATCTAATTTAACTTGGTTTAAGCAGTGTGAACAAGGAGACCTAGCTCTAGAATCCTGTGAAAAAATAAGAACACTGTTTTGAAAATGCTTGCATCCAGTTCGGTCTGAAAAAACAACATCCCAATCGGATAAAAACTTCATGCAAAAGTTAGAATATTTAATTTGAATTCAGGAAGATCTATATAATGATATAATTTTTCAACTGCTCTTTGTTATATTTTAGGCCTAATATACTTGTGAAAGGCAGAGTTTAAATGTAAGGATCTGTAGAGTGATATTTGCTATAGAAATTATTAATCAATGTAGATTGGTGGTGCCAGAAGTCTTAGCCTGAACCATGATAGAATACACATTTCTGAGAGGGTGAATCTTCTGGCTGGGGAATAGAAAATTCTCTTATGAAGACTCATAATCCAGTTTTGTGGATATAATTTGAGGAGAACTAATTGTCTAACACATTCTACATGTTTCTCATCTCTCTGCTTCATAAATGATTATCTGTCATGCCAATTAAATGCCCTATGGTTTTATCTGGATTCTTGGTATACCATGCCTTTTATTTTGTTTTCTTGGAATCAAAATATAGCAGCAGGTTAGTTTTAATCAAATTGTAAATCAGTATTGCCTTTGGTTATTATTCTGCTCTTATTCCTATAGGAACCAAAATTTTTGACTCTTTAAGCAACCTTTCCTGTGAATTCCTGTGAAGCAAATTAG